TAAGCAGGTGGATGGGTCTCGTCGTCATCACGGCGGCGTAGCGGAGGTGGGAAGATGAGCAGCATGCCGTCTTTGATCTTTCCAACGACCCAAGCGAAGATCTTGCGCTTAACTACTCCCCGGATTGGGGTCACAAATGACTGATTAGTTTTGAGCTGGTGTTTCTCCATCGCTGAGTTTTGATGGAAAGTCCGAGTTGGTGTAATGGAGTGAGCTAGTGAGATATATATATTATAGAGTCTCTTAGTTTTGAGTTCCCACTGGACTGCACGGTGTTGTTTCCTGGAAACTGCATCGAAGAGATCACTCACATTTCATATTTCGATCAGTGGGTGTGATTATCGATCCAACGGTGGAGGAAGAAACTCACCACATTTGGGTGTGATGATCGAACGGTGTAGGCACGGGCGGATTTCCATTGGCCATTATATTGAAACTTCTTTTCATCTTACGACTAGTATAATTGTAATTTAATTAAATGTTTTTCTTTTCTAATTTGTGGTCGAACCGTGGAGGCTCTGGGTGAATTTCCATTGGCCATTGGAACTTTTTCTTCCTGTTCACCCTGATGTGTATTTTAATTGGAAGCAATTAGCATTCATGACCTTCATTTATGATAGATTTTCATTTGCAGTCCCTTACACATAATAGCCTCTTAAATATTCTTAAAAAGTTCAAGTATATTTACACTGGTGTAAATCTACATGCTTGTCCAATATTAGATAAAATGCTATGTAAAAAGTTTTCCAAATCTCCATTTTTCTCAAATGAGTATATTTATGAATCAATTTCTTATTTATCCATTATATGTTTTGGATATATAACATATCAAATAAAATCTTACTTAGAAGAATCTAAATTCATTTGACTCAACTCAAATCAGAAGTGAACCTCACCAAAACACTACGCACCAAAATGATCACTTTAAATATCGATTTTAGCTAATTTTTTCAACCACTCCCCATATGAATGAAAATTGATTTTCGAGACGGTAAACAGATCGACACGACCATTTTTAACTTAACGAACAATCCCATAATAAGATAGGTATATGTTACCATTTGAACCCTCATTTGTAAAGATATATTAGTTTATTTACGGGAGAATCAGTGTCAAAGTATTTATGTCCCTCACGTTACCTATAACCTTTAATTACAAGCTAGTTTGGTCTTATACGTACATCTCAATGAAACCATTCGGTTTCATCTTCTATCTAAAGACCCATTCGGATCCCAAAGGTAAACATGAATGAAGATCAACAAATTTCGAAGTATGATTCTATCAAATAGAATCAACTTCACTTTAAATAACCTCTTTCCATAACGGTCCTTCGATAGAAGTTACAATTTATTCATATTGAGACTTATTATCTAACAAACATGTCAGAAAATTCAATTCATTTTTTAATAAATATTTAGAACATTATATTCATATTCTAAAATAAGTTACAAAATCAGGACCGAATGATTTTTTAAATCCTAACTCATTTTTTGTTGTGTTTAGGCTCTTACTCAGATTTATTTTCAAACCTCCTATCACTATCCATAGGCTAGTCAAATGCTCATTTCGATGCATTAGGTCCTTCACTGGACCTACACATAAATACATCTTCAACAGATGATGCATTCTTAGATTCAATAATCATGTTCTTATGTTTATCTAGTTTATGGGACTCATACACTAAGAACAGATAAGCATTATTGTTATATGCATTGCCAATAAAAAGAATTTGATATTATAGTTGAGACTGATAGAGTATTATCAAATAATGAAAGAAGAAAAAGTGTTGAGATTGCACTAGTACAAAAAAGTTAGTCCGCTACCATTCTCAGTCCAATATAGCCATTAAAAACAAAATAATCGTAAGGGATATTTTCAAATTGCTTGGGTGTTTTAGGTGCATAATGTTTTTGAAATTGGGGTTTATGCGCGTTGCTATGCACCCTAGAATAAGACGTTTGCTTAAGTCTATGATACCACTCAAATTGCGCTTTTGACATTGGTTCATGGACCATAAGCCAGTCCTCATCGGAAGGAAACAATCTTCCGGCGCCTCTCATTGATTTTCAAGAGTATCTCTGAGGCTTTGCAAACCTATTATTTTGACCATTCGGGTAATGGCTCGGTTTACCCTTCGGATGACCATTCGGTCTCCTCCTTGAATGGTTTGACCTCGAGTTCTTTTTGAGTTTTCCTCTCGGATCGGGTGGTTACCCTTTGTTGCCTGACCCTTCGTGAATTGACCATTCGGTCCTCTGCCACTAGGTCTATTCCGATTCGTGTACTGGACACTCCTCGGGTTACCGTTCGAAGGTTTACCTTTCGGAGGTTCCACAACCTTTCGAAAAGCGTTCCCTTTCGGTTAACTATTCGTTTGTGGTGCCTTACCCTTGTCAACAACTCTTACTGGTTCAGGTTGCAGCGTTTGACCTTTAACAAACATAGGTTTTAGACCTCCACTGGTTGAAGGGTCTGTGGGTTTGGTCAATAGAACTTGTGAGGGGGATTTGGGATTGTAGCCTAGTCTTCCCACTAAGTCTTTGCTCACGCACCATTCGATCCATTATTTTGGATGAATCAGTGAAGGTAGCTATGACCTCACGCAAATTGTGTTATCTCAATTCTCTTACTTTGCACTCTTCCTTTAGTTAGAGAATTTGCTTGTCAAATTGGCTTATCGTGCTCATCATCTCATTATTTTTTAGCACAATACTCTTGAAAGATTCGCGTTCAGCCAAAAGTTGAGCATTCTCTTCTTTCAATTTGGCATGAGTGTTCTTTACTACCTTGAAGTCCTTCATCAGTTTAAAAAACGAATCCACAGGATCTTCATCGCAACTAGACTCGGACCCACATTGTGTAGAAGATGATTGAGAATTTGCCCCTTCATCTTTTGCCATTAAGCACAAATCTTCAACCGAATCATGTTGGTTGTAGAGGCAGATGAGTCCCTTCCCATCGTCCGAGCTTTTGCTCTCTAAACATGAACTAGAGGTGCAGTACTCGGGTACCACCTTCTCAGCTGACTCGTCGATCACCGGTGCTTTCCTCTTTCTGTCACCTTTCGAGTGACTACTCGAGTGGTTAGCTCTTTAACCACTCATTTCTCCGGGGTTATTCCTCGGATTGCTCTAGTTGCCTACACTCCTCGGTTGGTCTTAGTGCTTCCGAACCACCGTGTATGGGCATTCTGCCTTAAAGTGCTCTAGCTTCCTGCAGTTATATCATAATGAATGCAACTCCTCAGATTCCCTACTCTTCGAGGTGTTAGACCTCTCAGAGTGTCTCCGATTTGAGGAAAATGGTGTTGCTAGAGAGCTTCGAGGGTTGTTCTTCCTCATGAATCTCTTGAACTTCCTGACAAACATTGCAAACTGCTTGATAAGTGTGCCAAAAGTGTATCATTTTGGGAGCGTATTAGAAGTTACATGTGCATATACTCAAGTGTGTGTTGCATGGAAGATGAGGCGAATCGGTGCAATTTACTAAGTTTTGCATATGCCAAGTAGTGGGAACATTTTGTCACTTTTTGCAGAGATTTAGGGAAAAGAAAAGCAAAGGAAAGGAGAAGAGAGCATGGTGCGATCGGAGGAAGCATCCATGGTTCCCTATCCACGTACGTGGTATCTCGTGGATGAGAAATAGAAAGATCCACGGGACCAATCCACGTTCGTTGATTGTCTCGTGGATAAGAAGTAGAAGATTCCGGTTCAGGAAACCAACGCATAAGTTCCCAAACCACGAGCCCGATCTACGCTCGTGGGCGACTCGTGGATTGGGACGATTTTAAGGCGCGAAGGAGGCGAATAAAAGGGGAGAAATTCCAACATTTTGAGGGAGATCACTTTAGTTTTAGTTCATAGCTAAAAATTGTAGAGAGCTTTTTGTAGAACCCTAGAGAGAGAAAGTGAGAAATTGTGATTCTTTGAAGGAATATTCTACAAGTGGAGCTTGGATTTTTCTTTGTACTCCTTAGTGGTATTGTTTTACATACTTGTATTTCATTTTCTTGCTTATCTTTACTCAATTGCTTTTATTCAATTGCTTTTGTTTTCCATTGCAATACATTTAGAGATTGAATTGAAGTCATCATGGTTGAGTGGCTAAAGTGTTAGATTAGATTGGCATTCCTATAACCATGGCATTCTAGACCTTAATTGTTCCTATTTGAGTAGATTTGGTGCTTGGTTGGAATTGCTTTGTTATGTGCATTCTTTGAATTGATCCTATCATGTTGGTGGCCACAATAGGGTAGGAGCTTAAGATTGAGAGATTGACAAGAGATTGTAGTCCCTCAATAGTCTTGTTTGTGCATAATCCCCGTTCTACGATCCGAGAGGGCTAGGCCCGGGAGGAGTGGTAGACCAAGTGCTCGATAAATGCCTTAGCCGAATTAGGACCTAAGAGACTAATCCCTTCGCAGTTTAGTGTTGGTGCCTTGATACTCCCGTAGTAACCAACCACGCACCACGTCAATTCACCCCTTGAAAAGTGAATGCCATGTTTAGAAAGACCAGTCTAATCCTTGCCTTTTGATTGTTGTTTCTTGTTAAATTTGCATTCTTGCGCTATTTGAATCAACGACATGATGTTTCCGCGCCTAGTTAGTCATTGCCATTGTATTGTTCGCACATTCGCTTTAGTCCCTCCAATTTGTCATTCGTGAGAGAATGATAAAAATCCAGGGAGTGATCCCGCAAACTTTTGACATCGAAAAAGAAATCTTGTCACTGCTCATCAGTTACAACTTCAGCAGGGTTAGAATTGGACCTAGATGAGGTGGATGGTTTTTGATCAGCAACCAGTGCCAAAATTCTTTGTCTGGGTTCCTCGTCTTGTCTCGATCATCATTCCAACTCGTACGCCTTCAGGTCATCACTAAAGATTTGTGACGTCTGGATCGCCTTCAAGTCCTTATGGTCACGCATCGATATGACCTTCATTTCCCATTATTTGGGCAGTCCTCGGAGAATCTTCAGATTGATCTCCTTTTGGCTTAGCTACTTCCCTAGATCAGCGACCTCACTAAGGAGCTTTATAAACCAAGTCTCTATCTCGGCTATGGTTTTGTTTGCACCCATCTTGAAGTCCTTGAACTTCTTCATCGCGATGGTCAGTTTGTTATCTTTCTCCTGTTTGTCCCCTTCTCCAATCTACATGAAGATGCTCCAGATCTCCTTGGCAGATGTGCATTTTCTGATTCTAGGGAACAAGGTATCATCGACCGTCTTGAACAATATATCTTTCTCTATATTGTCAACATTTTTTCTGGTGCGGTCCTCTGGCGACCGTGCATGTCTCTGTTTAGGCACATATTATGGTGCATCTAGTCTTTGCGCCGCTCGGTTGGCGTTGACCATCATGATCTTCACCAGACCTTCGGTGATAACCTCCCACATCTCATTGTGGAAAGCAGAGAGGTGTGCCTGCATTCGCACCTTCCAGTCATCAAATTTACTGAGGTTGAACATGAGATGTTTAGAAAGATAATGATCCATATTATTGCGAAAATAATATGTGAAAAGAAAACAAATGGATTTTGAGCATTGAAATGAGATCACCAGGCAGTATACACAGCGTTTACCTATCAAGGCAACTACTCTGATACCACTTGTTGGTCCTGGTGAGGGTTAAGTACGAGTCTAGAGGGGGGTGAATAGAATCGTAGGGATTTTGAAAATTATTGGCGATTGGTTAAGGCTACCCGAGAGGTAATCTTAACTACTCGATCAGAATTTAAGTACGTAGTGGAAAATATAATTTGAGAGAGAGAGAGAGAGAGAGAGAGAGAGAGAGAGAGAGAGAGAGCATTATTATGAAGAAAAAAATAATCTGTAGAAATTTTAGAGCCATATTGTAAAGTTTAGGAGAGAGAAAAAAAAGTGGTAATGTTTAGATATGAAAAAAATAGAGGATAATGAAGAAAAAGTAATTTATTGAATTTAGATATAAGGTTTATAGAGTTTAAATAGGGAGAAAAAATAGAGCTTAAATAGTGAGAGAAAATATTCAGAGTTTTTTTTTTTTTAAACCAAAAACAAGTATCATTAAATCATTAAACTGGAAATACAATCCGGAGGTACAAAAGACCACACTCCCGAGTCAGTCGAAGAATCAGTTGCTCGTGCAAGAACATGAGCCACTCGATTCGCTGATCTCTTGACATGGCGAACAACAACGTTCCCAATGTCGCTAGCAATCAACAAACATTGCTTCACAATAGAATCTACGTAAGAAAAATCCAAACAGCTAGAATTAAAAGCATTGCAAAAAAAGTAAACAGTCGGTTTCTATGATTACGTGATCGTGGCCAAGTCCACGAAGCCCAGAGAGAGCTTCCTTAACTCTGCATGCCTCTGCCATCAAAGGATCTCGATTGCAAACCAACCGGCCATTCTTTGCTGCCACAAAACCACCCCCCGTGATCCCGAATTACCGCTCCAAAGCCCACGTTGTCAGCCAAAAGTGCAACGTCAACGTTGCATTTGAGCCAGTGCCGAGGAGGAGGTTCCCAGATGACACAAACCGCATCAATACCTGTTCTGGGAGATGTCAATTTGTATGCATCCTTCCAAGTGGTGACCAGCCTTACAACGTGACTGCGCACCACCCCGATATCCCACACCTTATCCCTCCATATCCGATCATTCCTCACTGTCCATATCATCCAGACAACTGCCGCCAAATGCACCGCCCTCTCCCTGCTTGAGTTGGATAAAACGGATTCCAGAAAAGCTTGAATGGATGCTCCTTGTAGAACGTCGTCTCTCTCCCAAATCTGCCGAGCTATCCGACAATCGCCTATTAAATGTTCAGCTGTTTCCGCGGACTGCCCACACAGCGGACATCCGCCCCTAATCCACACATGTTTAGACTTCAAGTTTTCACGGACCGGTAAAATGCCCCGAGCGCAACGCCAAATAAGATTACGAACCTTCGGTGGAACTGGCAAACTCCAAATCTTCTCCCACGCCATGAACTCCCCAGGCCGGGTGCATGCAAAACACCATCGGTTGTCAGAAGTTTATACCCGTGTTTGACCGAATAAGCTCCACGGATGTCACCCACCCACCGCCAAGAATCCAGTACATGAGCTGCTATGGGTGTGGCAATGATTCTACGCACATCTGAGTCATCAAAGAGGTCGTTGAGAATCTCCTCGTCCCATCGTCCATGTTCATTCATGAGGCCACTGACCGTAGCCTCCCGTAGAGCGTCCACTGGAGGTGTACTAAGACTGGCCATAGAAGAATCTGCTAGCCAAGGCCAACCCCAGATCTTCGTGTCCTTACCATCCCCGATACGGCGTGCTAAGCCCATTCGCAAAACACCTTGCCCTTCCATGATACTCCGCCACATGTAGCTTGGATTGTGACCAATACTAGCCTCCATAAACTCACATTTTGGGTAATACTTTGCTTTCATAATTCGGCTAACCAACGAATGCGGAGTGGTCATTAAACGCCACCCCTGTTTGGCAAGAAGTGCAATATTAAACTCGTGTAAGCGACGAAAGCCCAGCCCACCCCGACATTTTGGCACACTTAAACGAGACCAGCTCATCCAATAACAGATAGAAGGTTGTTAGAGGAGTTCTCCTAGCTATGCATTTGAAATTTGAAATAAGTGGTTGGGGTTTCCTATTAGCTTGTATATAAGTGTAGGTTTCCCTGTACTCATTCATTCATGGTATTTCTCTATCTCAATATACACTTCACTATTTAGAGTTCAGCATGGTATCAGAGTGGTAGATGTGGGTGGTGGGCTTTGGTCGAAACGAGGAGGCGCCGCCGCCGGGAGAAACGGAGCAGCCGTCGGAAGCTTCACGCGCCGCCGCACTTCCGGAGCTCCGACGCCACGCGCCGGCGCGTGCGCCGTTTCCCGACCTCGCCTCCGGTCGCCGCCGACGCGGCTAGCTCCGTCTCCGTGCGCCCGACGCTTCTGTAGCAATATCCCCGTCCGGTGTTGAGGGGATTTGGCGTGGGCTGCTTTTCCAAAACTGAATCTGCTGCGTAGGGTTTGCTGCCAGGATTGGGTTTTGCGTAGAAGTGAAGTCTGCACCTCCAGGTTGGTTCGTGTGTGTTTATTATGGCAGAAAATAGGACTATTACTGTGGTGTCAACTCAATCTAAATTGGTTGATTTGGTGTTGGCACCTGATGGGTCTAATTTTGGGGAATGGAAGTTTTTAGTTGAAGTGAACTTGAAGGGTATGGGTAAAGCTGGACATTTAACTGGAACATGTCCGGCGGACCCTACCGAAGCCCAAGCGTGGCAGAAAGATGATGACGCCCTATTTTCGCGTATAATAAATTGTATTGATAGGAAGATAATTCTATCTTTACAGCACTGTAAGAGTGCGAAGGAAGTGTTGGATTTAGTGAATAAGTGGTTTAGCGGGGCAAATAATTAGAGGAAGTTACATCAGTTATCCCAGGATGTTCATCGACCGTCTCAAAAAGGGTGGGACATCAGGGATTACTATTATGACTTCAAGAATGTGAGAGAGGCATTGTGTGCTGCTATGCCATTTATTGATGAAGTGGATAAAATGAAAAAACAACGTGATCAGTTGCATATTTTTTGTTGGATTTCTGGGTTGGATAAGGAGTATGATGTTTTGAAATCACAATTATTGGGGAATAAGGAATTAGACTCGCTCGACCAAGTTTTTTCTATGGTTCAAAATGCATCAGTGAACCTTGGTACTGATAGTACGTTGGAGAAACAAGTCTTTTTCTCACAGGGAGATAGTGGGATTGATAGTGCCAACAGTCGAGGAGGTCGGTCCAGGGGACGAGGTAGAGGGCGCGGAGGAGGTCGAGGGCAAAGGGCTTGCTATAATTGTGGTGATCCCGGTCATCTGCGTAACCAATGCCCACAGCTCTTCGACCATATGAGATTTGCTAATTCTGCCTCTAGACCAGAAGGGACGGTTATGATAATTGAAGAAGAAATGGCTTTGTTTAATCAGTTAAAGCTGTCTTCCTCGCAGTCTCCCGCTAGTCCAGGGTCATTTCCATCTCCGTCAGCTACCTTTGTTCAAACAGGTAATCCTATTGCTTGTGTTTCCTCCTCGTCTCGACAGTGGGCCATTGATTCTGGAGCCAGTAACCACATGTCAGGTAATCTAAGTATGTTTTCCGAATATTGTTCCTTTAAATATTGTCCTACGATTACCTTGGCAGATGGTTCATCCACCTCTGTTTTAAGTAAAGGTAGTGTGAATGTTAGTGCGTCGTTACCTCTCACTTCTGTGTTATATCTCCCAAAGTTCCCATTCAATTTATTGTCAATTAGTCAAATTACCCGGGACCTAAATTGTTGCTCATGTTCTTCCCTGGATATTGTCTGTTTCAGGATCTGTTGACGAAGACGATTATTGGTAAAGGGAAGGAGGTCGGTGGGCTGTACGTGTTAGAACGGCTGTCCAAAGATTCTGGAGGTGTTTCGGTTGGTTTATTGGGAAATATGTCTCCGTTGCAGTTGCACTCCCGGTATGGTCACCCGCCTTTGTCTGTCTTAAAGAAGTTGTGTCCGGGGTTAGAATCTTTGTCTAGCTTGCAATGTGAGTCATGCAAGCTTGCTAAGCATTGTCGGGTACCATACCCTCCTAGAGTCAATAATAGAGTCGAGTCTTTATTTCAATTGGTTCACTCAGATATATGGGGTCCATGTCGAGTAGTATCGAAATCTGGGTTTAAATATTTTGTAACTTTTGTAGATGATTTCTCTAGACACACTTGGCTATACCTCATGAAATCTAGAGATGAGTTGTTTGGGATCTTTTGTAATTTCTGTGCGATGGTCAAAACTCAGTTCAATAAAATGATACAGGTTTTGCAGAGTGATAATGGGACTGAGTATTTTTCTCGTTCCTTCTCGAGTTATATGAGTCAGAATGGGATGATACATCAATCGTCTTGTGTCAGCACTCCCCAACAGAATGGTGTGGCAGAACGTAAGAACCGACATCTGTTGGAGGTTGCTAGGGCCTTGTTGTTTCAAATGAAAGTCCCTAGGGTTTACTGGGCAGATGCTGTTCATACAGCGTGTTTCTTAATAAACCGCCTACCTACAAGGGTCCTTGGGGGTCAAAGTCCTTGTCATTTCATCTATCCGTCCAAACCGTCGTTCTGTCTTCCTCCTAAAGTGTTTGGGTGTACGTTTTTTGTCCAGGATGTTCGTCCTCAAAGAGGGAAACTCGATCCTAAGTCATTAAAATGTATTTTCCTGGGATATTCAAGTACTCAAAAAGGGTATCAATGTTACTCCCCGGATTTGGGGCGATACTTGGTTTCTGCAGATGTCTCATTCTTCGAGAATACTTTATTCCGTGAGGAGCTCCCTGGTTCGTCTGGTTGTAGTTCTGAGATAGATGATTTTCTGACTTATGTTGTTACTATCCCTGACTCCGTAGGAGTGGAGTCTAGGCCTCCTGTTACGCAGGTTTATCACAGGCGGCCCAGAGAAGTTGATACGCATGCAGCCCCACCGGTTCCACCAGTAAATCCTCCCTTACCAGAATCTTCGTCGATAGACCAGGATGTTCCTATCGTCGTTCGGAAAGGTACGCGTCGTTGTGTTCGTCCCATTCCGTCCTTTGTGTCATATACCAATTTATCGGCGTCTTCACGTGCTTTATGTCCCAGTTAGAGTCTGTTCCTGTTCCGAAATCTTTGAGTCAGGCTATGTCCCATGATGGTTGGAGGCGTGCGATGGTAGAGGAGATAGACGCCCTTGAGGAGAACCAGATCTGGGATCTAGTGCAGCTTCCCCCTGGTAAGGTTGCTATTGGGTGTAAATGGGTGTATGTGGTGAAAATGAACCCGGATGGGTCTGTGGCTAGACTCAAAGCACGCTTGGTGGCCAAGGGGTACGCCCAGACGTATGGTATAGATTATACCGAGACGTGCTCTCCAGTGGCCAAGTTAACCTCTGTGCGAATCTTTATCTCTTTGGCAGCTTCAAGTCATTGGCCCTTGCATCAGCTTGATGTGAAAAATGCTTTCTTACATGGCTACCTGCGTGAGGAAGTTTATATGGAGCAACCACCGGGGTTTGTTGCTCAGGGGGAGTCTAGGAAAGTGTGCAAGCTGAAGAAGTCTTTATATGGGCTGAAGCAGTCTCCGCGTGCGTGGTTTGGGCGGTTTAGCAATGCGGTTGTTGAGTTTGGAATGCAGAGAAGTGCATATGATCATACTGTCTTTTACAAACATACTAACTATGGGTGTGTTTTGTTGATAGTATATGTAGATGATATTGTAATTGCAGGCAGTGATACAAGTGGGATCGAGGCACTCAAGTCCTTTCTCGGGTCTGAGTTTCATACTAAAGATCTGGGAGTGTTGAAGTACTTTCTGGGAATTGAAGTTGCACGCTCTAAGAAAGGCATATTCCTCTCACAAAGGAAATATGTGTTGGACTTGCTCGATGACACGGGGCTGCTTGGGTCAAAACCGTGTGATACGCCCATGGATCAAGGTGTGAAGTTATTGACAGGAGAAGGGGAGCCGTTTGAAGATCCGGAGAGGTACAGAAGGTTAGTAGGAAAACTGAATTATCTCACAATTACCCGTCCAGATATTGCATTTCCAGTGAGTGTGGTTAGTCAATTCATGAGTGCACTGACACAGACTCACTGGGAAGCGGCGGTTCGGATTGTGAAATACTTGAAAGGTGCTCCTGGAAAAGGGATTCTTTATGCTGATCATGGGTATATGCGTGTTGAGGCGTTCTCCGATGCAGACTGGGCTGGTTCACCGGGTGACAGGAAGTCTATGACAGGTTATTGTGTGTTTGTAGGAGGCAACTTGGTCTCGTGGAAGAGTAAGAAGCGGAATGTGGTGTCACGTTCAAGTGCAGAATCGGAATACCGGGCTATGGCTCATGTGGCAAGCGAAATAGTCTGGGTGCGTAACATTTTAGAAGAAGTGGGTGTTGAAGTGAAGTTACCAATAGATTTGTGGTGTGATAACTGTGCTGCCATACACATCGCAAATAATCCAGTCTTTCACGAGCGGACGAAGCATATTGAAGTTGACTGCCACTTTATACGGGAAAAAGTGGAGCAAGGACTAATATCACTTACACACGTTCGGAGCGGTGATCAACTGGCTGACATATTCACGAAAGGATTATGTAAGAATCGGGTTTCATATATATGTAACAAGTTGGGCATGTTTGATATCTATGCTCCAACTTGAGGGGGAGTGTTAGAAGGTTGTTAGAGGAGTTTTCCTAGCTATGCATTTGAAATTTGAAATAAGTGGTTGGGGTATTAGCTTGTATATAAGTGTAGGTTTCCCTGTACTCGTTCATTCACGGTATTTCTCTATCTCAATATACACTTCACTATTTAGAGTTCAACACTCTAGCTTATCGCACAGCCGCCCTGGTATCAAAAAGACAGACGTGGTAAAAATTGGGAGGGCCTGCGCGACACTTTTTAGCATGATTTCTTTACCTGCTTTCGTTAAGAGACGATGTTGCCACGTCCCTAACCGCTCCCGAACTTTCTCCTCTATGTAACGAAAAGTGGCTGATTTATTACGCCCCAGGACTGAAGGTAGCCCTAGGTAACGACCAAAATCTGTCGTCTCGCGAACCCCCATGCATGCATTGATCATCTCTCTCGTTTCAACTCCCGTGTTTGAACTAAACATGATGCTGGATTTCTCATAACTAACGAGTTGCCCCGATGCTGCACTATAACTATCAAGACATCCCTTGATAGACTGAGCTTCCCCATGCGTAGCCCTGAAAAAAAAAAAAACAGACTATCGTCCGCAAAGAATAAATGTGTCACGGTCGGGGCCCCGCGTGCAAGTCGAACCCCATGAATGTCACCACGCCCCTCCGCCTGCTGCAGAAGGACAGACAGTCCTTCGGCACATATGATAAAAAGGTACGGGGACAATGGGTCCCCTTGGCGAATGCCACGGGTTGGACACACTGACCCCACCCCAACCCCGTTAACTTGAATAGTATAGCTGACCGTGGTAACACAGTGTAGCAGTAGGTCAATCCACTTCCGTTCAAAACCCAACGCTTGTAACATTCCCTTCAAGTAGTCCCATTCCATCCTGTCGTAAGCTTTGGCCATGTCAAGTTTCAGAGTCGCCCACCCCATTGCTCCATTCGTCTTTCTCCGCAGGAAGTGGCCCACCTCCCCAGCAACAATAATATTATCCGTGAGCAACCTGTTGGGCACAAATGCATTTTGTGACTGAGAAACCACTGTATCCAATACTCCTTTTAGTCTATTCGCCAAAGCTTTCGCAATGACTTTATAGGCCACATTGCACAGTGCAATTGGCCGTAAATCCGTGACCTTCTCCGGTGTCTTCTTTTTCGGAACCAAAACAATGTTTGACTCATTGAGCCCCTCAGGGAAATGACCCGTTGAGATACACTGCAAGACGAACATGGCCAGATCATGGCCCAACACTGGCCAGAAATGTTGGAAAAAGGCAGGCGTCATTCCATCTGGTCCCGGGGCTTTCTCCGGGGCCATGGAAAAAAGTGCGGCCTTAACATCGGCCATCGTAAACGGTTGCCTCAATATCGCATTCATATCGTCGGTGAGCCTCGGTTGAACCCGGTCAAGCATATTAGTCGCATTATACTCGGACTGAAAAATAAAATTGTAATACCTGAGGACCTCAGCATTCAAGTACGCTCCTTCCTGCCAAACTCCCTGGGAGTCCTTCAGACGAGACAAAGTATTTCGCCGTTTTCTGAAAGAGGCCATCTTGTGAAAATATTTAGTGTTCGAATCCCCATGCTTAAGCCATAGTTGTTTGGAGCGCTGTTTTTAGAACAATTCTTCTTGATCGAGAAGCAAATTCATCTCGTCTTCGACCGTCTTATATTGTTGCACCTCTGTTTGATCTCTACTATCCCGAAGTTGTTCCAGTAGACGCCGGAGCACCACAATGCGCCGGCCAAACTTCCGTTTGTACTCCCCTCCCCACCGGCCCAATTGTTGCGCACACAAAGAAAGACGTTGCTGAAAGTCTAGGCCAGAAGACTGTCTCCAGGCGTTGGAATTAAGGGTCGGATTTCAACTATTTATATTTGAAAATAAAAAATCTACAAAAATCCTAAAATAAAAAAAAAAATTCTATAAAAGATCATAACTCTTTGAATACTGCATGACTTTTAATCATATCGAATATCACCCGACTTTTAAAGACTTTAAAAATCTTGATTGAATATCTCATGACTTTTATAGACTCTCTAAAAGTTTGAATTGCATATATCTAAACTTTTAAAAGTCTGTAAAAGTAATGATTGAATACACCCCTCTAAAATTCCGCTTAGTCTAGCCTAATTTCATCGCTAAGTTCAATAATTTAATTACACAATTTATTATACTTAGAGAGCTTATTTGATTGTTATCCCAAAAATAATCTCTAATTTGATTGTTATCCCAAAAATAAAATACATACATCATATCATATGTATATCACATATAAATATATAAACAAAACAAAAATTATCAATTCCCAATACACCGTGGAATGTGGATAGAAATTTTTTAGTAGTTATCACGAAGGTACCTACTAGCCTTATATCAACATGTGTTACAAAATACAATAATACTTCCTCTATCCTACTTTATATTTTTTATTTACTATTTATTAGTCACCACTCAATGTGACAGTAGTTTATAAATAATTAAAGAAAAATTGTAATTTAAGTTCGTACATAATATGTCAATTATCAATAATACTTCATAACCGTGTGTGATATTATTCTTCAATTTTCAAAACGGTACATACATTACCCATTTATGAGAGGAAAATTAAGGGGCAATATTTACACTACGGGAGGCGCAACATATATATACCGTTTTAAAAATTGAAGGGCAACATTTACACCACTAATAATTCAAAAGCGATATTAATAATTGGCATATTATGAAAGAGCATAAATTACAATTTTTTCAATAATTAAACACAAAAACTTGTTTGAAACCATTTCATCTCAAATTATTATATATTACTAAAAACGAAAGAGCATAAATTACAATTTTTTCAATAATTAAACACAAAAACTTGTTTGAAACTATTTCATCTCAAATTATTATATATTACTAAAAACAAAATATTTTTAAAATATATATATATATATAATAATTGATACTAATAATTAAAAAGTTATGAAGCTATTTCACCAGCATTTTCCTATACTCAATTCCAGATTTGATGAAATTTTTGTTTCTTGCTTCACTCCTTTTTTTCTTTTTAGAGTACATTAATGTACTAATTCAATAATATAATTTCATTTTTACACAATAAATGGATTGTTAAGCTTTCTCCTTATTTTTGCTCAAAGTATATTAGATAATAATTCAATAATAGATGTTACTGAATTATTTTTTTTAAAAAAATGGATAGAGCACTGAATTTTTTTTCATTAGAACTACAAATTTCACAAGTATATTAGAAATCTTGATCAGAAGGCATTCATTGTGAACTTCTACAACAGTAGAGCCTGTACAAGAGACTTAGCATTACTCACCACAAGCAAAGCATACATGACAAACACATTCAAAGTTTTTCATCAAATGAACGAAAACCTTTCTTCGCAATTAACTGAAGTGAGGATCTTCATCGTTCAAAGGCTGCTCCAGCGCCAAAATGTGTTCC